GAGCTCTTCTCAAATATGTGAATAAGAAGTTTGTCCTGCCTTTGTTACATACGGCAGACATAAGTAATTACTGGTAGCAGATGAAAGGCTGCCTTTTTAAAAAGACACTAGATTGTATCCTACCACTTCCACTCAGTTAAGGGAGGCACACCCTGCTAGTGCAAAGTGTGTCTGACCAAGCAGAATGCACCTTGTGCTAAAAGAACACACCATCCTTAGCTAAGCAATAGGATGCAGCCTACTGCACATAGGCCTTCAATCCTGCAGAGATCACTGCATATAGGTAGGAAGTCCTCCAACCCCTACTGGATGCTGTTCTTCATTGACAGGAAAATAAATTAATAAATGTCTCCTCCAAACATCTGCTTTCTTACTGAACCACTAATACCTGATCATATTTTTACTTAGATTCCCCCTTCCTTACTACTTTACCAGTTCCCCAAAATAAAGGCAAAAAATGCTTTGAAACAAGGAGTGACCTCTGAAGCTGTGAGTTAGTAATATGAAATCATATTTAATTAAATATTTACTATGAAAATGTTCAGCATAAGGATAACATTTACGATGGTGAATTTAGGTAGAAACTTAATCTGGAAAGCTAACTTAGTATCATCAAATATTCCAATAGTTTTATTTCCAAAATTAGATTTTTAATTAATTTATAATTTTGGTCAGGCATTGAAGAACATGAGATATTGGCCAAACAGCAAGCATATGTAATTTGTACATAAAACCGTATTTATTTTCCCCATTTGTATCATATCAAGGCTTTGTAAATGTTTTCTTGTTTTAAAATTATTTTGTATTTTATTTTTATAAACTGGTTCTAAATAAAAATCATTCAGCATGCAAACAATACTTTTGACTGTGTTTGTCATATTATTCTTTAAGTTACTCTGCCAAAAGTCCTTTTCCTGGTAGTGTCTTGCTTTATTATAATTCAAGTGTAGATGCCGATAACCAATGTGTTTCCTTGAAAATTGAAGTTTGGTGCTGAAAACAGCGGTGTTGATCTGCAAATGATCAGTTTTGAAATGCTGAGTACGAATACTGCAATTTAATACATTTTTTGCAGTGCCAAAATAAGGGCAGACATTTTTTTCTGTTTGCTACTCAGAAAAAGAAGAAGAGATTAGATTAGATTTATACCCTGCGCTTCACTATTCAAAGGAGTCTCAGAGTGGCTTACAATCCCTCTCCTTTCCCCTCCCCTCCTCACAACAGACACTCTGTGAGGTAGTTGGAGCTGAGAGAGCTCTCTTGAAAACTGCCCATGAGAGAACAGCTCTGAAAGAACTGATGACTGACCCAAGGTCACACCAGCAGCTGCACTCTTAACCACTACACTCTCTTTGCATCATGTTTGTTTTTGTTACAGAAATAGCTTGCTGGTTAAAAGTGCACAAAATTTGTGAGCTACAGTGGAGTATGAACCTAAACTTCTGTACAGAGGCATAATCAAATAACTCCTAAAATACTTAAAAATTGTAGATTGCTTTAATGACCCTTCTGTAATTATTGGTCTTTTGTTAAACGACTTGTGCATAGGCTGTCAACTACTGACAGTTACCCAGTTTCACACACAATACGAGGATAGAAAGATTCCCCACTAAAACATATATTGGATGTCTCTAGCTCCTATTCTTACAGCTTTGCTGTGATATGAAGAGCAGAAGAGAAATGTATTCCCCATTTCTCCTTTGGTAGAATCTTAGGAGCAAAATATTGTTCAGATGGCACTGGTTTTCCATACATTTCCCCCATCTCTTAAACTAGTGAGTGGTGCATAGCGGAGGTGATTGGCTCTACTTTATAACCATGATTCTAAACAAAGAGGGGGGGAAATCCAGAAGTGACTAGACTTGCCACCTACATTAGGAACACAAATATTCAGTAAACAGAATGACCAGGAGGAATAAAAAAAAGGAAAAGAATCAATCAAATCTAACCTGTATTGAATGTGAAGGTGAAAGTTTCAAGCCTGAGCCTAGAGAGCTTGGAATTGTGGCAAAGCTGCTGACTGATATATTTCCTATATTCTGTTATTTCCTCTGTTCCTTGAGTCTCAACAAGAAAAGCAGGCTGTAAATAAATAAAGAAATATTCCTGTATTTACATTACTATATTTCATATTTCAGCCTCCAAGAATATTCCCTTAATCCAATGCTATTTCAGTAAGTGGTTTTGGTCCTAGTGTTATTTCTGCAAATCTTCTTGTTTGAAGCTTGACATTCAGTCTAGTCTGTCACTGCTTGTTTAATGCCTTACTAGAGTTATCATATACTCCATGAAAAAATAGCTGTTTATCACAGAATATATTGTTAACTGTGCTGAATCATCCATTGAGGGTCACTTTGTGGTCTACCTAGCAAACTTTCATGCTATTGCAATGGAGAGCCCACTCACAGGTATGAAACAGAATCTATGATAATGTTCTGTCTAATGGCAGAGCACTGCAAGGGTCATCCTGTGTACATACATTGAGAGAGCAAGCCTAAATAGGTCTACTCAGAATCCTATTCCAGTATAGTCAGTGGGGCTTACTCCAAGGAAAGTGTTTTTAGGATTGCACTGTAAATTACTTTTGCAGATCAATTCTATACTGTAGAATGCAACAGTGAAGATCTTTCTCTTAGCAACAAATATGTAAGTAATAATGGCCCTGACCCGGATAGCCCAGGCTAGCTCAGCCACACCAGATCTTGAAAGCTAAGCAAGGTCAGCCTGTTAGTATTTGGATGGGAGATCTCCAAGGAATACCAGGGTCCTGACATGGAGGCAGACAATGGCAAACCACCTCTGAACATGTCTTGCCTTGAAAAACCGCCTACAGGGCCAGTGTAAGTCAGTTACAACTAGACAACATGTTCCATCACCATGACATTATCCCTTGAAGAGCAAAATGGATCCTGCAGTACTCAAATATATTCAATTTATAAAATGTGTACTGTGTACTAAAGGTGCCCATATTTTCAGTTTTCCCCACAATATTTAACTGATCCTATAGTTTATAATATTTCACATGGATTTGGATGAAAGAAGAGAGGTAGTGGGCTGCATGAAGCAGAAGAGAAAATTCAACCAATATGGCAGTATTTTTGCATTATGAAGTATCTACAGCTAAATTATATGGCTAACAGTTTTAAGGCAAATCATTTCTTGCCTGTGGATCAGTAAAAACTGGCATCTCTGTTAATCTACAAACATCTTATACCCTTACAAATATTAGCTGTGTTAATATTTGACAATTTTTAAATTTAAACTGCTATGTGGCACAGGCAGGCTATAAATTTAACTAACTAACTAAATAAACCCCTGCCTTGCTAAATGAAAACAATGTTACAAATGATGTGGGGATACCTCAGCCGCTGAATGTTTGGTGTTGAAAGATGTTAAATGTTAGAACTATCTCCATGCAATGCATACTACATTTGGGTTTGGAAACAGCCCTTTCTCTCATTGCCTTTATAGCTACCTCTTCTGAGGGCATTTCTCCCTGTTCATGATCCCAGGTCACAGTGATAGCATGTTTTCTTAGCTGGACAGATTGTTAGATGACTCCCACTTCCAAAAAGAATGCTGGCTTCTTTGCAGTCTTTTCCACTACTGAAACAGAGTATTGTAGATATGTACTTTAAAAGCACAAGGCATACACACTTCAAAACGAACTTTCTCTTTACAACTGGCAACATACAAAAAACTTATGAGAAGATTCAGATTTCATTGGCATTTTAGTAAAAATTGTTTTTCAAATGTCTTGATTCTTCCATTTGATGAAATGCATAGAACAGAAACTTTCCCCCTACAAACACATTCAACAGACCAATGCTGTCCTGAAGTCACATATGGCAAATAATGTGTAAGGCCAACCTGGCCTTAACATCAGCACCACCAACAGCTGGATGATCAACAGCTGGCAGGAGCCTGGAGGCAGCCACCCAGCAATAATAGAAAGTCGCCATCTTGAAATTGTGTTAGGTGCTTGAGTACCTATGGTTGATATTTTAAATCTATTTTAATGCTGTTTATATTGGAATTTTAAATGTATATTACTCATGTTGTTAGCCGCCCTGAGCCCGCCACAGCGGGGAGGGCGGGATATAAATTTAATAAATAATTTAATAAATAAAATAATAAAGGTGCAGAGATACAGCTCTACAGCCACAGGTAGATGCCCTCCTATACGTAGTGGCTAACACAAGGAAACATGCCTGCTTCTTCCCATTCCCATGTTTGAAGCCACAAAGTGCAGTACTATTATTTGTGGGCCATCAAATCTTAAGGGTAAACTTTATTAAAATGGAAATACAGGCTTTAAGATGCTATGTCTTACAGCTTGGACAGTCCTCCAATCTGAAATGTGTTTCAACATGTGTGAAAAGATATACCTTTGTGGTGAGCACTTTCCCAGATTACTGAATATCAAAAAGATAACATCACTCATCAGAACTGGTTTTTTTGGCAAATTCTTTTTAATTATGCAACAAAAGGCAGCCTTTCCCCCATCCTGCAGTTTTTGGGCAGAGTGGGTTTTGTTTTCATTTTTGCAGGGGCGATTCATTGGGCAGGAGCTGAACATGAGCAACAACAAGAGCGAGCAACCAGGGATAACTTACAAGCATTTGGCTCATAGCTCAGTACCCCAACTCATATCCTAGAGAAGCTAAACTTCACATGCTCTCTTATTGACCCAAACATCTTTCTAGTGGTAGTATTTATTTTAATAAAAGTACAATAAAGTACTAAATCTCACTAATTTGCAGTTTTGATTGCTAAAAAACCCCCAGTTTGTATGATATTCTGCACCAGATATTGCTGTTATGCTTTCATACTCTCTTGTCACTTTTAAAGATCAGCTTAATACCAGGGAGAGCCAGGTGGGTCAAATTTCCTCTCTTCCTCATGGGGAAAAATGTGAGACTAAGGGAAATGTACTATTCAAGACATCAGTCAACCAACTGCAAAAGCTACACGATAACTACTGCAATCCTATGTTCTTCTTTGGGATTGTCGTGCTGAACTCAGTGGGACTTACTTCTCAGTAAACGTGCACAGGACTAGGCTCTAAAAGTTGTAGCTTGTGTTACGCCTCCTACACATGACATGTCTTCAATAGGAGTGGAGATCTTGAGTGTTCAGCATTCTAGAGAACAGCCAGACATGTCTGTTCCTTCATTAACTGGAGAAGAATACAAAACAGCCTCTCTTAATCACCACAGGTTTCTTTGGGTATTGAAGTCTCACACATCTGCAAAACAGAAATAGTAGCAGCCATTTGGATGCTCCTTCTTAATGGGTCTATGTGGGGGCCTCGGAAATTCTGATGGGCCTGGCTCTTGAGACATGGAGCTGGAACTGCAGCTGCTACTTCTGCTACTATTTCCCGCCACTGGTACTCTGGCTCTGTCCTCAACCAACGGGGACCCGGGACTCAGGTACCCTGCTGTGGTTTGAGTAGCTACAGTAGAAAATGTGGTTGGGCCAGCATTATTTTTCACATAGACATTTTTGATCGCCACTAATGTATGTGCCATGATGCTAAGGCTGTTGTTCAGATCTTGCATGCCTTGCTGCAGCAGCCGAAGATTGTGGTTGATACTGTCAAAGCCAGACTGGATGACATGCAGCTGGTTCTGCTGGATCTGTAATAGATCCTCCTCTGTAACTTCATTTGGATCTGGCTGGGGCTGAGTCTTTGTTTTGGCTTTTACTTTCCCACAAGGGCCTCCATTTGGAATCCCCAAAAAAGGAAGCTGGTCCTGGCTAGGAGGAACCACGGCCATGTCCTCTGAGCTTTCTTCTGGCTCCACTACCTTCACCACTATCTCTTCTTTTAGATTTATCTTCTCTAGACACGGTTGGTGGGATGGACCAGGATCTTCTGTAAAACCTAAAAAAGGATGAAAGAAAAGAGCAAGAAGAAAGTTCAGATTTCATTATCTTTGTGGACTCAATTTCCAACTATAGCTGCATAAAATGTTGGCTGCACTGCACTCAAGAAAATGTTCTTCACCTTCCACTGAGGTTCTAGCTTCAGTTGGCAGATAACATTAAACATACCCATTAGTGAAAAATGACCAATCTTGAGCTGAAGGCTAAGAGAAGAAGAATTATTTTAAATACTGCCAGCCTCACAAAATGCCAAATATGTCCAGTATCAGATATAAAGAACTCCTGGTATTTCCTGATGCAGGTATTTCACTCCCGATTAATATCAGAAATATCCAGATTTGGGTGAGGAGGCCTTTCTATGGACAATGCATCAGTCCTTTAAATTTTAAAAGGTGTCTATTTCAAGGGGCAGTAGACATGGTTTCTGCACTCCTGCAGGCTCCAAAAATTGTTTTAATTCTGTTTTGTAATCCCAGAAAAAGCACCGTCATTATCACTCAATTTTCTGAGTATGCATATTTTTCCTAATATTAAAACAGAAACCTTTCCCAGCATGATTTTCTAATACCCCCAATATTTAATGAAAACATTAATCATACCCTTCCCAGGTTTCAAAAACGGAATTAAAATGGTAATTTTGGGGGGATATTTTTTGTATTTTTCATATGTATGTATGCACCTGGAAATCATGGTGACCTCTGGAAGTCATGGTGATCTCTGGTGACTGATCCCTACTGAGGGCCTAGAGGATATTCAGAGAGGTGGCTGAATAAAGCCTGGCCAGCTGCCCGACTCTGGTATTTCAAGGAGGTCTCCCATTCAAGTACTTGCCAGAGGTGACCCTGCTTAGCTTCTGAGATGTAATGAGATCGGGCTTGCCTAGGGCTAAAATGGTAATTTTTAAAGCACACATCCCTATTTTAAACAACTCTTCCACTATCTGTATCTGGCAAGTAAGACAACATTTGCACTGCATAAACCCAACACAGTTTTGATGAGGGACAGTTTGACTAGAATTAAAATTTAATGTTGATTCTTTCCCAAACTATACATAAAAGTCTGGCTTATTCACTTTACAAGTAATTACAAGTCTAATCGGTCTTCTAGAATTTTTAGAAATAAACTTTATTCTAAGCAATTTGCAAATGTGCCAGTTAAATTTTTTATGTACAACATGAATTCAAATATTTGATTTAGATAAACTAGGAATATTACAGTAAGTATCATCGCAAACCAAATACCTTGTCTATAAAATCCCTTAGAATGACCATGTACTTTCTAAAGTGCAATAGGTGAGTACCATTTTCAGGTGACCCAGGTTTTAAGTAGCACTAGCCAAGCAGAAAGCTCATCTATGAGATGAAGGAATAAGTAACATAACCAAAAGCATAGGCTCAACTTCAGTAGAACAACATGCCTTCCAGTGAGCTGGACTTGGCCTGGAGAGATAGTAGATTCAAATGGGATATCTCCATGTATGAATATTCTAAGACTGTTAAAGGGTACAGATGTGACCAGATTTGTTACAGATGTGACCAGATTTGTTATTTGTTACACAGTACCCAAGCAATTGTACACACTGATTCGCCAGAGATCAGTGGGTGACAATCTACATATATGAATGGTGAAGCCCTCCCCAGCCTTTTTGGGGAGCTTTTCCAATCCTGCACTTAAGTGGCAAATCTGGCACTGGAAGCACCTTTGAACTGATAAGCCCTTAAAAGTTCCAAGTTTATCTAGCCACAAATGATCTAAGAAGATCCTGTTTGAAATGGAAAAGCTTCTAAGTAACTGATGAACAACCAAGAACTTTTAGAAACAAACACTATTTATAAGTGTTCTCAATATGGGTAAGGTGCCTTATTCTGAACTTCAAGTGATAGAGTGAGCTGGTGTTTTCCCCCCAACTATTATTATGTGTCCTGATACTTGAGCCCAGAATTATAAGTTTCTACCTACTACAATGCACACTGAAACTTAAATTGTCTTTCCGCTTTCTCCCGCCTTAACATTCACAAGCAAATCACTTCAGGGGGGGGGGAAGAGTCCATGAAGTTGGATCTCTCTCCTTAACAAGACACACTTCGAAGTAACCAATTCACACCCAAACCCATCCCCGGGACAGGCAGGTGGCACTTTCACAGTACAATCCTTGTCAATGAAGTAAGGCGCTGTTGGGATCTGACTTTTCCCTTAAGCGAGATCCTAACCCTCTGCAGCGTTTAGAAAGAGGAGCCACAAAAGAGGAAGGCACAGGCACCACATGCCATGGGATCACTGGTCAGGGAAAGGCGTGGAACGCTCTATCGTCTTACTCGAAGGTTTCCGGGAAGACGAGATAAGTCTCTTAACTGTCCGTTGTGCAAACGAGCCTGTCACCATGCGGTGCCCAAGTGAGATGGGGAGCCCATCACCGCCTCGTCCCACTCACCGACGTCCGTCACGGAAGCTCCCGGCAAGTCCAGCGTGTCGATGCCTCCGACGATGGGCACAGCCTCGTTGGGAGCGGGCAGGCCGGAGCCGTAGGATCGGAGGTGGTCGGGCGGCGAGACGTCCTCGGGGGGCAGGAGGAGGCCGAGCGAGGCCGGGTGGGGCAGGGGCCCGCCGGGGCCTTGGGTGGTGATGCGGCAGAGCTTGCTCCGGTCGCGACGCTTCAGGTCCCGCCAGCGCTTCTTGAGGTCCTCCACCTCGCGGGGACAGGCGGCCACCGGGTTCACCTTGTGCCGGATCAGCTCCCAGACTTTGCGCTTCTGGCCCGGGGAGGCCCGGCCAGGCCCGGCGGCGAACAGCACCTGCTCGTGCTTCAGCACCTGCTCGATCAGCACCTCCGTCTCTGCCTCGTTGAAATTGGCCTTGCGCCGCTTGGGCGAGTCTTCGGCCATCCTGCGCGTCCAGCGGGGGCCCGGAGAAGAGCGAGGAGGCGGCGGCGGCTGAGCCCGCTTATTGTGCTGCTGCCGCTGCCGCACCAGCCGGCCCTAGGCCAAACCCCGGGCCCTGGCCGGGAAGCAAATACCGCGCATGAGAGGAAAAGACGCGCAAACCCCCGGCGCAGGCGCCCCGCTTGTTGACATGGGGGAGGGAGAAGAGGGGAATCGCTTTCCCCGCGGGCTCCACCTTCCTCGCAGCCTGACGCCGACCCACAATCTCCGCCTACTCAACGCTCGAGCCGCTCAGCGAGGAATCCCCGATCGCAGCCTGGCCCCGCCCCCTTAGCCCGGGAAAGCGCGGCAACTCCCCGTCCTTTGCGAATGTGCGCTCCAATCCACGCCCCTTCGGCCCCGGAGGAGGGGGGCTGAGCGTTCCCAGGGACGCCCACTCTGGCTCGTTGCCAAAAGTTGCGTCTGCGCGAGCGCGCCACTCCAGCTTCCAAACCCGCCTTCTTTGGGGAGGTGCGCTTTTCCTCCTCCTCCCGCTTTGGCTCTGCCTGGTCTCTCTCGTGGCCCCCTCCGGCGTCCTGCGCTCTAACCCGGAGTCACAAAAACGCTAGCACCCGCCCCCTTCGCTTCCTTTCGGGGCCGCCCCGCTGCTTTAGGCGGCATGTTTCGTGCGCCTGCCCAGAGGCTGTGATTAGAAGGGCCGTTCAAGGAGTTGGGCATGGAGGCTGTTTTGGAGCTGGTGCTGCAGGAGGAGGTGGCAGCCAGCGCTGTGGTGAGGTGGCTCAAAGCGAGCCAGAGCTCCCGCCCTGTGGAGGTAAGGCGCAGCACCCCTCCCCCTAATCATAGCGTCGTCGCTTTTCTCTTTGGGCGGGAACTTTCGCCCTCCAAAGCTTGTGGCGGGAGAGAAGCAGTCACTGGGAAGGTTCCCTCGCCCCTTCTGGCTCCTTGGTTGGGTGCTGCTTAGAGGGGGAAAGTCCTTGAAGTGCTGTACCCTTAGGCCTGCACTGTGTGGGGTCCTCCTGAGAGCTTTCAAGGAATCACACATAGGGCACGCACGCACGCACCCCCGATGAGAGACTGTCCCTGAACTTCAGAGCTCCCGACTCTCCAGCGACGAGCTGGGGCGGAGGGACGAGGCAGAAATGAATAGCCGCTTCAAAAGCAGTACCCGATCTTGTGCGTACTTATTCAAAATTAAGCACCACTGAGACAACCGAACTTGTTTTCCCGTATGAGAGCGTAGGATTGCGCCTTTAGTCAGATTGTAAATTTGCCCTGGCTTTCGCAGTCATGGGAATGGCTAAAATACCGTTTGGAGGAGCCGTGTAGGAAGGCGGATGTATACCTAATTCGCTTTACCTCAAAACCATGCAGCCTTGATGTGCTTTTGGGGTGGGTCACCTGGTTGAAGTGCGTTATTTGTTCATTGGTCAAGGTTTGCAGGATCAAAATTTAATTTAGTTCGAATCAATCTAGAAGTGGCAGATTCCACCGAGAGTGCTGTTTTTCTGACTCTCCCACGGAAGGGGGAAGAGGGCTGTCGCTTTACGTGTGAAAATGTGTAAGATCATGTTGAGAATGACAGACCAGACAAATCAGGTAAATAGGGAGGATTCTATCCTGTACTAACTGGAAGGAGTTTGTGTGTATATGAAGTCCTTTTAAAATGAGAGAATCTGCTTGTCAACAGAAATTTTATGCCCTAGCTGCTCTGTTTTTTGAGAACACTATATTTGTATTCGTAATTTACAGTGCCATTTGCTCTCAACTTATAGTTTCTTGTTTTTAACTGTTTTAACTATTCATTTGTTATACCTGTTTTAATTAATATTGTGGAACTGCTGCTGTAATTGAGCCTGAACCCACTTGCGGGGAGGGCAGAACATAAATTGAATAAATAAATAAATAATGGGGATCTAGCATGGTGAAGGTATCAGGGATTTCTATGTGGTGATTAAACTGCTTAAGTTTGTGTGAAATGCTGTGATATGTTAGTGCAAAAAGAGTCATGATGCAGCAGTCTAAAGTCAGTTAGATTTCAATACCTGAAAGATAAATATGGTGGTTTTCACAAATGTTTAAATTTAGTTCTGTATCACTTGTTTCTATAAACTGAATGAAAAAACTTAATTGACTAGACAGAGTGTGTATGATTTGAAAATGGGTGCCAGGAGTGAGTGACAGACTCAAATAGAGCGATTCTCTGCCCTGCCCTCCCCCACATGAGTTCAGCATACAGTGGACTCAAATGAACCACAAAGCTGCTGCTTGGTATTTTAAATTGGTATTTAATGTTATTTTCTGTGAATTGATGTTTTAATTGTATTGATGTTTAATGAGATGGTTTTATGACATGTTGTAAACTGCTCTGAGCCCACTTGTGGGGTGGGACGGGATAGAAATCTCAAAAATAAATAAATATACTGCATTCACAAGTTTGCATTCTCAGTTTAAATATGAGGAATGTCATTTGTGAAATTATCCTCCAAAATGGTGTCTTTGTTGACCTGTGAAGCTGAAACATGAAATTTTCCAGTCTTATCTCAATGACATTATTCTGTATGACAAAGTAAACATGTCTTTTATGTCAGTCACTACCTGCTAAACAAACTTTTAATATAGTATCTAAATAACACAATTTTAATTACTAAAAGTTTGATATGAAATCTGAAGATGTAGGGACATAAAACTAGAGCTAATTCCCATATTTGTTGACTTAACCACCTTCATATACTAAATTTTAGCTTGCAAAGCACCATGACCCTTGTGGTGTCCCTACTGAAATTTAGTTAGCTTTACATTCTGCCCATGGCTTTTCTCATAAGAAAACGTAATTTCAAAAGTTGTCCCATCTAAAAAAGAAATAATTTATAAACTATTGGAAACAGCGGAAATGGACAAATTAACTTTTCAATTACAAGATAAAAAATATGAAGTTTTTGAGAAGAACTAGGGGACAAGGGAACCTCCTCTTCGGCTTCTTCTTTTCGTACACAACACACGTTACCTAGATTCAGGCAAGACAGAAGACAGTCATGGAACAACAACAAGCAGTCCTTTCGTAGGGGAGGTTTCAACGCCCGGTTCTCCAGACCCAACTTCAACAGACAGGGAAAAGGAGACAGAGAGACCAAGAATCCTCGGGCATGACTATCAAAACCCACCGGTGGGAGGCCGTCTTACACTCTTACATCAAGCATGGATAGCCTCACATGCAGAAGTGTGGACAACAGATATAGTCAAAGAAGGTTACAAGATAGAGTTTCGACTTCTCTCCCCCCCCCCCAATTTCTTGCGTCTCCAACACACAAAAATGTTCAAAAGAAAGAAAAAACCAAAATGGCAATAAACCATCTCTTAAAAATTCAAGCAATAGAAGCAGTTCCTGCAAAGGATCTGGGGACAGGAGTCTACTCAATCTTCTTTACTGTCCCAAAGAAGACAGGCTACTGGAGAGCAATATTGGATCTGAAGTATGTCAACAAATTCATGCAACCCAGATGCTTCCGGATGGAAACCCTCCGATCAATAGCAGAATCTCTACAACCAGAGGAATTCCTCACATCAATAGACTTGACCGATGCATACATGCACGTCCCTATATTCCCCTCTCACAGGAAGTTCCTACGCTTCAACATAGCAGAAGAACACTTTCAATTCAGAGCGCTCCCATTCAGGCTATCCTCGGCTCCCTGTGTATTCACCAAAATCATGGTGCACCCAGTGGTGGTTCTTCAAGAAAAAGGGGTACACATTCATCCCTATCTAGACGACCTGCTGATTTGATCCAGGTCAAGAGAACAAGCGACATGCGACATGTAAAAAAACAATAGAATGTCTAAGAGAGTTCGGTTTCCTGATCAGTATAAAGAAAAGTTCTTAAACCCACTCAACGGCTGGAGCACCTAGGTGTGATCATAGACACCAGGTCCACAAAATTATTTCTCACAAAAAACAAGGCAAAAAAGATCTGCTCACTGGCAATTCAAATCATCTCAGCAAGAATGTCTTCCATTTCCATTCTAACCAAATTGATGGGACTCATGGTGGCAACCTTCGACACACTTCAGTGGGGAAGACTTCATTCCAGACAACTCCAACTGTTCCTGAGACCCTTTCAAAAACACGTTACCCTTTGAATAGACTTTCTGGTGAAGTTTCCTCTACAGGTGAAGACGAGTCTCTGTGTGTGGACACACATCAACAATCTTACTCAAGACAAGACGTTCTGGATCCCAGACAGGACACAGATATTTACGGACACCAGTTTGTCAGGGTGGGGAGCCACCCTGCAGAACATTACTGCACAGGGAAAATGGTCACCAGAGGAACACAAACTCCCAATCAACCTATTAGAACTACGAGCTGTCAGATTGGCACTTCAACACTTTGCCCACCTCATTCAGGGGAAACACATCCTCATCAGGACAGACAACATCTCAGCAAAGGCATACCAGAACAAACAGGGAGGTTCCAAATCGTTAGCTCTGCACAGGGAAGCGAAGAAACTCTTGGAATGGGCAGAATCCAATTTATCCTCAATAAAGGTGGAACATGTGAAAGGAGAAGTCAACATCCAGGCGGACTGGCTGAGTCGCCAATCACTGCAGGAGAGCGAATGGTCTCTGAATCGGAATGGGTGGACCTCTTCGCGTCACCAACCAATGCGCAACTAGTGAGGTTCTTTACTCGGTACTATCAACGTCTCCATGGTCTCGAGGACTTCTGTATACCTCCCCACCACTACCAGTCCTTCCACAGCTACTCAGAAGAATTCAAATACTGAAAGCACAGGTTATAGTAGTAGCGCTGTACTGGCCACAGCGGCCATGGTTTTCATCCCTGCAACAGATGTCGGTAACTCAGCCTCTGCATCTTCCAACGCCTCCAGACATGCTGATACAGGGCCTGCTTTGGCATCCCAGACCAGAGTGGTTCTGCTTGACCACGTGGAAATTGAAAGGAGGAAGTTGCAAAAATTAGGTTATGATCCTCAAGTCATAGAGACGATCCCGGCATCCAGAAGACCGTCAACTTCCAGGATATATAATTGCACATGGAAAGCCTTCGTCCGTTGGTCCAGAAGAAAAAAGGTGGATCCTCAGCACCCTAAGATTGCGTCAGTACTGGAATTCCTACAAGACGGCATGGCTAACGGTCTAAGAGTGGCAACACTAAAGAGACAGGTAGCAGCTCTAGCCTCAATTCTACCGCTTTACAAGGGATCTTCAATTTCCCAACATCCTCACGTATCACGCTTCCTGAAAGGAGCATCTGCTAAACTCCCTTCAACGACAAAATATAAAATACACTTGGTACAAAACCTTACTGGATGATGTATGGAAA